ACAGATTATCTTGTAAAGTATATTTAAGACATTGTTATGGTACAAGATAAATTTTTCTTAACATATTTCCTGGTTCAAATAAACAATATGGCTTTGGAGATGTGATACTTTTCTTAAATAACGACAATATTTCCTTACTAAATTATATTACTGAATGAGGAATGCATTGTATCATACCTCATCTATTAAAATAAATTCTGTACCTATGAGACAAAGCATAATTGGAAAACATAGCACTTTTTCTTGTTTTCTTGATTCATTTATTTTTTCTATCAGTTTATTCCCCTTGTTTTTCGAATAACATTGAGTTTATCAGATGGTGATATTGTTTGCATTTCACTTCTTTGATTTGCCTCTTCCTAACATAATGCGTGTATTTGCTCATGCTACAGTCTGTGTGTGTCTCCAATTATGTTAGGAATTATGAAAAATCACGATACTGTATAGAAGTGTCAACTAAAACAGAAAATAATTTTCTTCTTCTTCTTCTTCTTCTTCTTCTTCACGTGTAGTCTTACGAAACAACTCTCAACTCTAGCCTAATAAGCTTAGGAGACATAATCTGTTTATCTGATGGCATGATCTTTACATGATCTGTAGGCTGTAAGGCGAACGTAATGCACATAAAGGCCGAATCATTTAAGAAGAAATGCAGTATATGGATGCCTCTCTTAATAGAGCCACTGCATTACTTAGGTACGCCCTAGTAAATGCACACGTTTCCTCATGGACTGAGACGTCATGCAATTAAAAAAAAAAGATAATATTCCAGTCGGCGGGACATCGCGGTTTTAGTTTACCCATCGACAAGTCACAACTTGCGTAATTTCTCCGTAGGACCTGCGAGTTTCGCGGAGTGTGTGAGTCACGCGCGCTGCGTGAGTATGCGGCGCGCGACCTTGCAGCTCCTCCGTTCAGGATTCTGGACCTGCCGGCCGATTCATCAGCCTCAAGGTCTCGGCCGCCTCCGCGGGCCGCGCGCAACGCAAGCGGCGTTGGGTGCGGCGGCTGTTTCCTGAGCGCTCGACGGCACAAATCCAGACGATCGAACGTGAAAGCTAGCCAATCAAGACAGGATTTACTTACACGCAAAATAAACTGTTGCGTAGGGACCCACCGGCTGGGGTGGCGCAGGGCCACTACTGATCTCACTGCAGTGTCTCTGACTCGATAATCCTAGGGTTCGGGTCACGACGACGGGAGGGTTGTCGACACGAGTTAAATAGGTCGAATTCAGCCGCTGTCTGGTGGTGAATTCTAGCGGTCGGCTGCTCTGGTCGCTAATTTTCCGTGGTTTCTCTGATCAACACCAGGATAATGCCGGAACAATATCATAACGAACGGGTTACGGTCCGCGCGCGATCTTTCATCTTCCTTGTCCTGACCTCATCTCTTACTTACACACACACACTTACACTTACACTTACACTTACATGCATTACACTAGCACACTTGTTGGGACACCAATCGAGAGCCAAGAGCCTGTCTAAGCTGAGACTGTGCCCAGCTAATGGGAGATACGTGTATGAGGAAAAGTCAGCAAGCCAACATTTATATCGGTGTCGGATATCTCCATTCATTGGTGAATAACAGCGCCACTTCCAGTGATGAAAACAAACACTTCACTTACGAAACCTTCGATGTTGAAGCGCCCGGAAACACTCAATAATCAATATTAGGGGCCCCATCCATGGCCAGGGACGCCCATGGACGTTGGAGCAATTTGTGCCAGGTATCTCCCCAAGTATCTCCGCGAAAATGGTGACCCATAATTGGTGCACCGAAAGCTTCTTTTTGTTTACAATCTATTGACGCAAAACCTATTGACGTCTAATTCAAATTATCCGCTTTACGTTATTTCTGTGACCTGGAGAGATGAATTCTGAGAGCGTAGGCTTCCGCGGACGGCCTAGTAAATAGAGATGAATTCTGTTTATGTACAGGAAGGGGCGGGTGTGGTGCGAGTTTTGCTTGTAGTAATGGGCTTTCGTGGGCCTATTGCCCCAGGCATCGTGTTTTTTCTGAACACCTTCGACGAAGGTAGGCGCCGTGCAGCTGAAAATATTAATAAAATATTCGAAAAAAGTCATAAAATATGTATGTGTTAAATAATTGTTAATCAAACAATACCATTCCATATGATCATACGTGTGCGTCACTTTTGTAAAAATGTTATTTTATTATAAGTATTTTTTTAAATAATGGAGAGGACTTTTTTCCGGAGAAGAGGCGGCAAATGAATTTCTGCATGCGTGCCCGCCAGTGAAGCATCCGATCAGTGGCAAAGTTGACTGTTCTGCCTAAAGGAAAAGCTGTTGCAAGTTTATAAAATTAAACAAGATTTTCCTCAAATTTCGATGCTGAAGTGTCAATACGTTTTCACCCATCTGTGCATATAATATGAATATGTTTTGACTGAAATATTGTGAAGCAGCAAATGTTCGTTATTTGAATATGTTTAATATCCGGTTGAAAGTTCGTTCTACGCATTGCAAAGAATTGAACACAGCATACAAGTATATGCTTTCATATTCTGTTACTGTATGAGAATTTTATAATACTCATGTAAGGCAGACTATTGTCATATTTAGCAACATTGCCATGTTATCATTTGGTAAAATGCCTATTTCCAAAAACAATAATTAACAATTACAATAAACAATGTAAACAGAAGCAATAATTTAATATGTATATAATGTGTATAAATAATATTAAATTAATATTAGTTAAATTGATGTAATATTTTAGTTTTATTCAATTGGAAATGAAGGATTTTGCAAATCTGGGTAAATACAGAGTACGAATCCTGGTCTTTCCGCGAACATTTCAGATGGACAGAGTGGGAACACACCTTAAGATGTTTCCCCTTTTCTTACCTTTCATTCTACCACGTAGGTATTCTACCCTCACAGGTAATCCTCCCCGCTTACTTGTCGCAATTCAAGCCATACGAATAATAATAATAATAATAATAATAATAATAATAATAATAATAATAATAATAATAACAACAACTTTCGTTTTGTAAGAAAATTAGTTCCTGCTTTATCAGATAAATTCATGGATAATAAAGACCTGTGTAAGAATTTCGAAAAGTTCGTTTGTTTTCAGTATCTACGCTAGTTGGCCTGTTTGAAACGCAAGAGGTAATCCCCCTGGATGGCTTAAAACAAAGGAGGAAAATACGGGAGAAATAATGGAGTGTTTATGAGGAAAGCAACCAGGAAAATGCTAAATATTAGCAATGCTACACACCTTGAATTGTCTGCGAATTACACTTTCCCTCAGGAGAACGGGAAATAATGGCGGAAGAAACTTGTTTTGTTAAACCCTTTTTAATTGCGTTCTTCTTGGAACGTAGCTCTGGATAACTTTACTGGGTGTATTGTCTCCTTGATGATTTTAAATATAGATATCGCTTGAACTGGTGGAGCAAAAGAGTCGCATCTAAAAAATGCGTTTTAAAATTTTATTTATCTCCTAAGTTAGTGTAATGAAAAGTTTTTCAAGTTACATGCCTGTTCCAAGAAAGTCACATGTCAATTTGGTTCTGGGCACTGAGGAAATGCAATGTCGACGATACCTTCTCAGCACAGTCGATGTATATCAGAATGTACGCAATATATCACGAATGTACTGGGTTCTCACTACGAAGAAAACAATAAATATCTGCCAAAACTAAAGGTATGAAGCTAACTTTTATTTGAATATGAATGTCTTCCATTTTAACTGGTAGTAGCAAATATAGATAGAATATAGATAGCAATATAGAAGAACGATGATCGAAAGGTGACCGAAATGGAAAAAGATTGAACGAAAAGTGTATGGAAGTGAGATGAAAGAAATAAAATGTATGAAAATATGTCACGACTACAAAAATACTCAAAACAGGCTGACACGCACACGGGCCTTCCTTCGTCTATCTACTCTTCCATCTCCACTTCCAAATCCTGAGGGATTGCCTGATTCCCCATCACCATGCGTCTTATTGATCTACGTTCGAGAACAAAGGCTCTCATAGAACTGCAAGAACGCTAAAATCAGGGCAAAGCTCGAATTAGGTTGTGGAGCCTCATGAAGGAGAAGAAGGGCGAGTATTGATTTCGGGTGCGTCAACGGACGAAGTCACTATACACTATGTGTGTAGTGCATATTGCATCTCAGGCGATGGCGGTGGCCCTCCTCCCCTGAGGTGCGGCGCCGACATAGACGGCAGCTTTCGGTTTTTCTTACTCCAGATTTCTCCCCCAGGGAGTCACCAAGTCAGACGACAAAAGACCGAAACACTCACTGATCTCCCTACATCTATGAGAGTGTACTAGTGTACGAATGTGCGCGTGAAAGGAAAAGAGGGGGCAAGGAAATATCGTGCGCGGTCCGTGGCCTATTTGTTGGGTCCTCTTTTGGCATTCTCTGGTCGGAACGACGGAATTCTAGAATCCTGCAGCTTTGATCGGTAGGATTTCCGTGGTTTTAGCTAATGACGAATATATGCTGCCGCGAGGGCTTCTACCTTACTATCTTGCGGGATGATGCTGCAGAAGCAACGATTTTGTGAGGCTGAGCTGGAACAGCCGGAAAGAAGTCAAAAAAGGGGAAAAAGAAGAAGAAGGAGGAGAAGAAGAAGAAGGAGAAGAAGAAGAAGAAGGAGGAGGAGGAGGAGGGGAAGAAGGAGAAGAAGAAGCAGGAGAAGAAGAAGAAGAAGAAGAAGAAGGAGGAGAAGAAGAAGGAGGAGGAGAAGAAGAAGGAGGAGAAGAAGAAGAAGAAGGAGGAGAAAAAGAAGAAGGAGAAGAAGAAGAAGGAGAAGAAGAAGAAGGAGAAGAAGAAGAAGGAGAGGAATAAGAAGAAGAAGAAGAAGAAGAAGAAGAAAGAACAAAAGAAAAAACAAAAGAACAAGAAGAAAGAACAATAAGAAAGAACAAGAAGAAAGAACAAGAAAAAGTACGAGTAGATCGCACAGCAGCGTGGAATCGTGAGTGGAGTGCGCGTGGCGCCGCTGCGGCGACTGTAGTGTCCTCTGCGCCGGAGGGAAACCTGCGATGACTCACCTTGGGCGTCACAATGCTTCCGCGGCAGCGCCGCAGACGCCGAGGTGGAAGGGGAAGCGCCGGGCACGCGGCCACTATCAGAGGGAATTTATCTGGCGCACACACATCGCCGCAGCCCCACACCGTGTCAGAGTCCCGTGCGGCCCACACCGTCGCTCTCGCCCTCCTCGACCCCGTCACCATGGTGCACCGCTCGGCCCTGGGCGCTCTCGGGGCGTTGCTCGTGTGCTCCTTGGCTGCCGCCCTGCCCACCATTGGTAAGTTGTGAATTTGGGAGATGGGAGTGGATTTTTTCTTTCGCACGAGGCTTCACTGACCAGGTCGGAGAATTCGAAGATAGCGAGGGTTCTACTGCAGTCTCAATACTAATTCTTGGTGTTCTATAATTGCTGCTTCTCAGCGAACAGTGGGAGATACCTTTTTAAAAGTGGTGAGGTGAAGATGCTATCGTGTGCGATTGGATTGGTTAAGCCCTATGAATTGGACTGTTCTTTATAACGTTATCTTGGTCTTCGCGAAAAAATTGTGTTACGCGAGAAGTGTAAATGAATGTTGAAGTGGCACAAAAAGTGTAATAGACTGTTGAAGTCACAGAATCATCTACCGGTGAGTAATACTGTCAGTAATACAAAATATGTGAGTTTTTGCCTAACTTCAAAAAAATTAATAACTCTGTATTATCAATGAAACTACATTTTAGTAAATAAATGCTGTTAACGATACAATTAGTTGTGATTGCACACTGTACTCTTGATGAGAATTATCGATAAATCGTATCATTAGAGAAACATTTGTTAACAGATAGCTATACCAACATTTTAGATGTACATACATAGTGAAATATCGTACATATTGTTTTCTCTTTAGCAATATCATCCTATCGGAGGATAAAATTATCTAATCTCGCTTTCTCATCGACAAGTTTGATAAAACCTAGTACTAAAGTTAAAACGTCATTTATTTTCACAACTCCTTTTTTGTATCTCCTCGAGGTTGATCCAAACTTTTATGTAAATGAAACAATTTAAATATGATATTTCGTCTTGAATCTACGAAATCTTGGTAGGAAAAGGGAAAATAATTTAAACATTAGTTCTGAATACGCTTTATCTAAAGAGGTCTTCTTTACAATAATTATTATATTGTCGAAATATCCCATATTTAGAGGTTTCGCATTAACATAGTGTTTTTTATTCTTTTTCTTCGATTTTACAAATACTTTTTCAGACATTTTGAAATTCAAATATTTTTACACACACCAAAGACGCCCTTTCTTTTCAGTTTTGCCCTCCCTATTCGTTGGTGTCCAGCCGCCCTTTGGCCTCGCCTCCCCATCCGTTGCTAGTGTGTTGTCCGGATATGGCCATTCACGAACACGTACCCTGAGTAATATCCGGAAACGCCAGGTTTTATGAGTCACAATTTCACCCACCGGTTACGGCCTCCGACGCTGGTTTTAAGGGGATCGTGTTTTGTACACTACATACGTGACAGTTTTGTCCGTTTCGTCTAACCCGCCTGGGAAGACACGTGAGTCTGTAGTTAGAATTCGGCTTCGCAGCGCTTCGCAACCAGATTATTTGTTTTCTAAAACAGTCGTGTACGAAACCCGCAGTAGTCTTGTAATTTTCTCCAGGATACAGGTTGGTGATTCCGTGTCCTGAGGGTCTGTGCGCTTAACCTTTTTCTGTCATCGAGAGGTCACGTGGCGACCCACCCTCTCCTACGTCGGGTGTTTTTTCGTCAGGACAATGACGAGGAACGGAGAGGGAAGGGAGGCAGCGCAAAATTGGGCGTCTGTAGCTGCCTTCCGAATATGTACAAACACAATTAGCGCAAAAATGAACGGGGGAAACTAGCTCGTATGTATATATGCATGTACTTCGGCACAACAGCACTTTACGAGCTATGGCCTACTAGCAGCCTCCCGGACATGCGGCCATGGGTTAAAGAGTATGAGTGGTTAGTACATAGCCATCCCTACGCTGTATTTCTGGTATTCTCAACCTGGGAAGTGAGCTTTCTCATCGTCATGCAGCAAAATATACTGGGACATTGCAAGGAAAGTGCACAATTAATTTTTGCCCCGACTGGGGATGGAACCCGGGGTTGCGCCGTGGAAAGCGAGCACGCTAACCATCGAGCCACCGGGGGCGGGAAACTTGATCGTATCCAGTCTAAAAGCGGGCCTTTAAGTTCGCAGCAATTTTACAAGTCGGATTGCGGCCACAGCCGTGTTCGCGCGGGTGGGTAAAACGACAAAATTGACACATATCCAGAGCCGGATTGATATCTCCAAGTGTCGCCCCTAAGCTTGTCCAAATTAAGAGTCCCCTAAATGATATTTAAATATTAAACACGACGTGATCAACATTCATATAAAAATGCAACCATAACTTAGTTAAATAAATATGAAAATAATAAATGCAATACATACATAATAACATTTAATCATTCAAATGGTTAAAGGAATTTTCACCCTCACTGGGAATGGAACCCGGATGCCTGGTTTACTCGTAGTTGCTCCAATCAGGTGAGAAAATGGTGACCTAAGTAAAATTTAATGTTATTTAAAATAATTATCGCTTTTATCTGGGCGGCAAGTTTTAAAACATGCGCAACCATTTTTTTTTCAATCTGAATTAAATTTATTTTTTGCTGCATTGTTAATAATTAGTTAACAATTGTTACATATAGTAGTAATAATAAGAAAATTGGTTTAAAATTATTAGGATTTCTATAAGCCCCAAGCACGTGCTTAGTCTCCTTATGTAATTAATTCCCCACAAATTCCAAGAGCGTGTGTGAAACCCATAGCCTTTTAGTGACCTGTATTGATTATTCCGAGAAAAGACCTATCACCTATCCACCCCTCCGAGTTCAGCTCTGCCTCCCCCACTAGGCCTTATGACGGAACGAAACCGCAAGTTCGCCCAATACTCGAGGGAACCCTAGCACAAACGTCTGACTCACCGGAAACGGACGGCGAGGTGTCCCCGGCCTCACGAGAGCGCCCGACACGCGATGTCGTTTCCACGTTCAGCGGTGCTTCCCAAACGGCGTCGTGGAGCGTCTACGCACACGGGAGGGCTTTTAGTTCTCTGGCAGAAATCACGGGATCAAATGCACATTGAAATGGTCGTCGAAGAAAATATCGCAGCCCCATAGGAAGACGTCCACAACAAAAATCCACAATTTTAACGAAACTTTTAAAAAAAATGCACTAGAAGCTTGATGCAAAGTAACCTCAAAAGTTGGTTTCTTTAAAGTTGATGACTTGATTGATAAAGTTGAGCCAGTTCGGAAAAAGCATATCCGTTTTACGGAAAAAATCTTACGTTCGGCTTAGGACACAACAGTTACAGTCAATGCACACAGGAGGACTTTTAGTTCTCTGACAGAAATCACGGCATCAAATGCTCATTAAAATAGTCGTCGAAGAAAAAATCGCAGCCCCATAGGAAAACGTCCACAACAAAAGTCCACCATTTTAACGAAACTTTTTTTAAAAAATGCAATAGAAGCTTGATGCAAAGTAACCTCAAAACTTGGTTTCTTTAAAGTTGATAACTTGATTGATAAAGTTGAGCCAGTTCGAAAACAGTATATCCGTTTTACGAAAAGAAACAACGTAAGTTCTGTTTATGACGAACAGGTAGGAGACTCCAAAGGTCAGAATCCAGTAATTTCGGGAAAGAGTCACGATCGTGTTTCAGGTTAAACTAATATTTTTTAAGAAAATTCTCCGATCACGCCTATACATATATTCAATCATGGCTGATCGAAACATTCAATATCCATTGTTTCATGAGTGGGTTGGAAAGAACATACATAACATCTTGCTTTCATGTTGGCAGCAGCTGTCTGAGAAACGGTGTAGCTCTTTTTATTTACTTATAGATGAAAATTAACTGATGATTCAAAAGAAAAAAGTATACATACTAATTGTAAAAATACTGAAGAGGGAACAACGGAAATTTATAGCAGATTGGAGTTGGTAACCCATTAAAAACCATGTATTTCGCAATTGATCATGTTATTGAGAAACAACACGTGTCGTCATGAACGAGGAAATTCGTTGCCTTACTACTACTTTCAGGTGGAATCTCGGCCCAAGTGACTAAGTCCCACGTGAATCACGCCATGATGTTTTTTGCCCCAGCCAGCTTCAGCCAGTCTCAAGCGCCTTTCTGAGTACAGTGGTAATGACGCGTCTGAGGACGTTTTACTGTAACGGCGAGAAATAATTGTCTTCAATTGAACGATGACGTCATCCTTCTCGACATGCTCAAATATTTTCAAGTTGCACTCACCAACCAGAACGGAAGCGTTCACTTTAACGAAGTCAGCTGTTTTACAAGGCATGTAGACCTGGGGCGTCTCATTCAGGCCATTCAAGGACTAATGAGGAAATTTATTTTTTCTCTATTGAATGTGGTATGTAAGCAATTGACATTTTGATGAAAAATATTTGCGAATTCCGCTTAATTTGCAATACATTATGCTGCATGCACGAAGAGAATTGACTCAAATCGAATGGAATCATTTGAGGGAGAAACTTTCTAGCTCCCGAAAACATGTTCTTATCAAACTCCCCGATCTAAAATGTAATCTCATTTGTCTAAATTGTTAGGGTTATTAAAATTACATCAACATATCCATAAAATGACTTTAAATTTCCGTTTCTGCGAACTCAAAAGGGATAAGATTTATTTTTTTCGCGAATTTCAAATTTTCATTCTTCTTCATTTTTCCAAGATGTGTTCTTTGTTCCAAGGAACATTAGTGTTTACAGAAGTAAGTATATTTATTCATTTTTTACTATTAAAACAATATTAAATGTTTTAATTTTTAATTATATCATTCATGCTTCTGTGTCAACATTCGTTTGTTTAACCTAGCCAATGTAACAAAATTCTTAATGGTAATGCCATGAACCACCATTTCAGGCAGACAAATCTAGATAAATGTATTAGCTTAATTAGACCCTGAATTACTAAAATTATTGGAGTGATTATGTATGTTGCATTTACAATGGCGCACCGACATTCTGGACGAGATTCTCATAGGGCTTCAGCAGGCCCACCGCATAATGTATGGGCCACACGGGGTAGGGTAGCCACACGAAATGGGTATGTAGGGTAGCCACACGAAAAATCGTAGTGGATAAAATACCCACTCGAAATCTTCGGTGAGAAAAACATCCCATAAACGTCAAATTCCAGAAATGAACGAAGTTTCTCGATATTGCATCGACTCGATACGTATGCGCGATCAACTATGTTCAAAGATCTGCTTAACTGTATTGTGATTTTACGTTTATAGCGACATAACATGTTTATAGCGAACATTTTAAAATGAGTTTATGTTCAAGAAATGTAAAAGTGCAGCGCTGTTTTTGCGTTGCAAAAATGAACTCTACTGAAGTTACTAAAAGTAAATGTGATGACAAATAAATGAGATAACAATTTGATGACAATTTAGTATTAAACATGAGAATGTGTAAAAATTCTGCCATGTATTTTCGCCTTCAGATACATTTTCGGTGGGGAGGGGGGACCCCTACCTGGGTCAACTACCTACTCGGACTTACCACCAATTGCGGTCGCTGGCTTCAGTGCCCCCGAAACCGATTACGAAATTAACATTTACAGTTTTCGCTAATTTAAAAATAAAAATGAAATACTTCAATTATTGGCATTATTTTACTGACACGTTTTGAATTAATTGTTTAAAATTAATTCGTTTACATTATTGTAACGTAAATTATAAGAGAAATAACAATTTTATTTCCATTTCATGTTGGCCTACTATTAATGTCTTATTTAGGAATTAATGGCCTACATAACTACTGTCAAATGTAAATTAATAGTTATAAGATTTTGTGAACAAAGAAAATACCATTAAGTTAGATTTTTTTGTATTTTGTATATTGGACGTTTGTAATTTCTCGAGGGAGAGTAACTTCAGAGGGAGGCAATAATTCAATAATGTTCAATAACATGAGTAATTATTCAAAGTGTCTCATATTTTTGTCGTCCTGGTTGCGCCACTGCGCATGTTACAAAATATTTTGCTTGTAAATTGAGTAGATATTTATTGCGTAGAAAGTTGAAAGACGGTTGAGGTTGAGAAATTACGTCACGCTATGGCGCGCTCTCTCGCCCAAGCGTGCTCCACTTATCTACCTTGATTGCCTTCTCTTAATTCGTGTCTCAGAAACAAATTTCTCGGGTTGGCTCGTTGGTCTAGGGGTATGATTCTCGCTTAGGGTGCGAGAGGTCCCGGGTTCAAATCCCGGACGAGCCCGCAGTTTTTTTTGTACGCCCGGCGCTTGGAACGAAATGCTGTTTTATTGTAATACTTTATGGCCGTCATTCGACTAATTTTTTAAAATTCAGTCAGTCCTACATCTTAGATCATGGTGTCCAACTTGCAAGGTCTCAAGAGCCACAACTAAAACCTACAATATGGTTGCGGGCCATCTTTTCATGACACGGGCTATCCACCCCTGACTTTCCCTGTAATGTTTATGTTCGGCACTTGGCCCGTCTGGCTGCTCTGAAACGCGAAGGGAGGGGGGACCACGCTTGATATCAGGCCGTACCATGCATAACGCTGTGAGTCAAATTGGGATGATTTTTAATTTCTGAATTCACTCTCGATTGTCACCCGACATAGATGCACGGGAGTTGCTCTTTTGACTTTTTTACCTTTCACCTTTCACCTTCTCTACCTTTCGTAATAAATGGCAGCGCGGGTAGCGAGCGGCCTGCGAACCGCCAGTTGGACAGCCTTGTTTTAGGCGGTGGTACAGTTTAATCATCAATGGTGAGAATTCGTGTTGCTTGTTAGAACTTGTACTAGTGTAGATTTTATTGCAAGTGTAACTCCTGACGAGAAAAAAACAACTTTTTTCAAAATTTCGGCAAACTAATATTTAATATTCTTGAAGATATTTTCATATGATAATTTGTGGTCGTTACAATAAATTATGTTTAAATTTACATCCTTTGTTTCAGTGGTGCAACAAGACTGCGTCTCAGATCGAGACTGTTTGTTCAGTATGACGTGTGCTGACAACAAGTGCGTGTGCAGGGATGGTTATCACTTGTACAAGGACAAATGTCTAGGGGGTAAGTGATCGCATAACGTGGTAAAAAAGAGGAAATGTTTTGAGGAAAGATTTCATATCTTGATGGTTTCATCTAATCGTTCGTGGGTAGTGCTAGGGTTTTGTCATTATTTCAACTTCTTCCTTAAAAGTTTTCCTTCATAGATATTTGCCACTATGGGCACATAACATTCCTTGTCGATCTTCTTATTTGGTAGGTATACAATCGCTATGAATTAGAATTTTCAAATATGATTCATTTAGTGTCATACTGATTCGTTTACATTGAAAAAATTGAAGCCTTATCAAAAAGGTTTCTACTTGCATAGGGTTTGGTGCTTTTTCACTATCGAATGTGACTTTTTTTTAGGAATCGAAGCAACTTGTAATTACGATGAAGACTGTATTGTGGATGCTTACTGCCATAACCACCAAAAATGCGCATGCATGGAGAACCTCTTACGGAGTGATGACGGCAGCAAGTGTACAGGAAACGGTAAGTGTCAAAAAATCTAGTTATGTTCTTAAAGTTAAAATGTGAATGATACAATATGATTAGTGATTTAGTACTGGGATTCCCGCAAATTAGCGGAATTTTAGAATTAAAATTATAAAATCGTCACAGTGTCATTTGAACACTGACAATATTTTATCAAAACAATTTTTAAATCTAACTGTAAAACGTTTCGCTTAATTTCTATCAGAAATGGTGTACATTCGAGTTATTCGTTCAGAGACTATTTCGAACTGTATTCGAGAAAATCATGGTCACCTTGCGCCACCTGGTTAGAAATCATCCAAAATGTGACCCTTTTATGAGTATGCCATTCTGCAATCTAAGGCTGAGAGGAAATACTGAACAAGGACATAATAATAGCTGTAATTCCAAAAAAACAATGCTGTAATTCACTATTTTAAATTATTATTTTGAATGTGTTCTTTTTCTTAACCAAATCTCATTCCCTAAAACTCATCACGAAATTTATGTTCAATCTAAAATGATCTTTACATTCTTCTCCTCAATTTTATCCCATAGATTTCTTTTAGATTCCATTTTACTTTGGAATTCTTCTTACATCGTCATCCTCATCATCATTGATTGCGAAGGCTTCCGCAGCCGGAGTTTGCATTATCTAGGCTATCCGGGACGAGTCCCGTCGCTGACGCAACAGCAGTTCGCTCTAAGGAAGGACACATGTTGGTCGAAACGTCAGACACCATGACAGAGACGTGACTTGTCTCGGATAGCCTAGA